TCTAGTTATGTTTCTAACAGTAAAAAAGTTATTACTAATGCACATAAAATAAGTAATAGAGCTTGCCTAGTTTAACTGTATTATTAAGCATGTCCTAGAAGCATAAAACTAGCAGGCTAACGCCTTTAGCTAGAGACTAGATTACTTTAATAAAGAAAAAAAAAATAAAGGAGTTTACACTTTTTAAAGAAACTAATAAAGAATAGATCTATAACAAACTCTAACTTATAAAAGAATTCTACATGCTTATAGCTAGTAAGTAGGGGTAAAAAAACTTAATCTAAAAATATTATAAATCTCTAATGTTTAGACACCTAAAAATAGGCACTCTTTAGAAAAAGCTAAGGGCTGCTATACTATAATAAATACTAAAAGTAAAGCAACTATACATAAAGGTGCTTAAAAAATATAATATCTATAATAAAAATAACTTACAAAGGCATAAAGCTTATAGATACCTCTAACTAATTAAAGCACTAAAGTTACTATAGATAATAATTATAATAGATTTTATTATAGGATTACCCCTGTCTAAAAAACTAGAAACAGACAGGATGTGCAATATAATTATAGTAGCTTTAGATAAAACTACTAAGTACCTATACACTTAGCTCTTAGAAAAAATAATAACAGCTAAAAAATTTATTTATAAATTAAAATAAAACATAATATTAGTACATAGATACCTTAGAATTATTATCTTTAACTAAGATAAACTGTTTACTAGTAGTTTCTAGAAAGCAGTAATGCAGCACATAGGCATAGCGCATAAGCTATTAACAGCCTACTACCTGCAAACAGACAGGCAGACTAAAAGAGTAAATGCAGAAATAAAGAAATATTTAAGAAAGTACATTTTCTACACTTAAGATAACTAGGCAGAATAGCTTCTAATAGCGCAGTTAGTAATTAATAATGTAGAATTAGCTATAATAAAAGAAACACTATATAAAGCTAATTATAGATATAACCTATACTTTATGTTGCACAGGAATTAACTTATAGACCTATAAAAGTTAATAGATTAGCTAACAGACCTATGTTAGATACATAAAAAGTTAGCTGTTAAAGTAAAGTCTAGTAGAGTAATAATAAAGAAGTATATAAACAAATTATAATAACTAGAACTAGAAATCTACTTAGAAGACTATGTCTATCTTAACATAAAAAACCTTAAGATACTTAGGCCTTTTAGAAAGCTAGCAAAAAAAAAAATAGAACTATATAAAGTCTTTTAAACTTAGTAGAACAACTGCAAGCTTAAGCTTCCTCTACATATAAAAATACATCTATAGTTCTATATCTCTAGATTAAAAAAGGCACTTAAAGGGATTCTCTTATCTATATAAAAATAAAAGGACAAAGAAACAGAGTATAAAGTTAAGCGCATTATTAGTAATTAAAAAAATTAAAAAGAATTTCTAGTAAAATAGAAAAAGTAGCTTACTAGTAAAAACACATAGAAACTAGCTAAAAATCTGCAAAACACGCAGCTGTTAGTATAAAAGTACCTCTAGGCTTATTTAAAAGAAACTAGCTAGGTAATAAGGCACCTATATTAAAAAGAATAGCTATGTTATTACTAAATAGCAGCAGCTTTTAGAAACAAGTTTTAGCTAATAATAGTTAAGAAAAAAAACAACCTTTTACTTTAGCCTTAAAAGCTTCTATCTTGTCTAAAAAAGATAGGTCTCTTTTTAGGTACTTTACATAATAAGCTTCTAGTAAATCTAGTAATTTTTAAATATAATCCTATTTAGAATACTCTTTATCTATTACCTCTAGCATTTTTTTTTGTAAATAAAGCTGCTTCTAATCCTACGCTAGTTCTTCCTAGTTTTAAGCCTATTACTTATCCTATAATGCATAATTTTAAGCCTTTAAAGCTTTAGCTTTCTAAAGAAGCGTTTTTTTTTTTTCTCTAAATAATTTTATATAGCATTAGAAATAAAGGTGTTACATTTATTATACTTTTTTACACACTTAACGCACTTATTTAAGGATAAAGTTAATATATAAGACAACTCTAAAGATTAGTAAGCGCTATAGAGCCTTATTTTTATCTAATAAAAAAAATTAAAACAATAAGTAACATAAGGACAGTAGAATAAATAAGACTAGTAAGCTATTTAGTATAAGATAAATAGATGTTAAAAATGCCTTTTAGTAAGTAAACACTTACTTTATAAATAAACTTTTACTAACACAGTTGTGTAAGCAGAGCAGTAAGGGCGCTGCTAAGAAGAGGGGGCAGCGTGTTATAGTCTACAGTTAGACTAGTGTAACTCTACTAGCAGTGCTCCACAATCTAGCTAGTTTAGGGCAAGGCTTACTTACTAACTAATTAGAGGACGCAGAGGTAGCACAGCTACCTAAGATTATAGAAGAATGCGTTGTCTAATAGAAGGACAGGCTGCAAATTAAAAGGAGCTTAAGGGAGCTTAAAAGAGCTTATAAAAACCCCTCTTAGGGGGCTCCTACAAACTTCTGCTAACTCCCCTTAGCGTCCTCTGCCTATGTATATAGTTCCTACATTAAATAACCTTTAGAAGGTGTGTTTAACATTTAGTTTATTTTTTACATAGACTAAGTAGCATTTAGCTTTTTAAAGAGCTGCAATACTATTTATATATCTTGCACTATATATACCTCTAACCCTGTCTAATAGGACTGTTTAACCCTAGCCTCCCTACTGCTGCACATAGGGCAAACTATAATCTAGTCACTCTCCCTCCCTCTATTAGCCTAATAGCCTGTACGTAGGACTGTACACCCTACCGGATTGGCCCCTACTACCCGTCCTACTTCCCACCTAGGAATATTATTAGACCTGAGTGCTTCACAAAGCAAGGATTGTAACAATGCGTAAGGATTTCCCCCCTAGCTAGCAGCTATAGCTAATATAGCTAATTCTTTACGCGCTAAGCATAATATAGGCTATATTAGCATAAACTAGCCTAATATGTTTATTAAGTGTTACTTAAAGCTTAAAGTAAAGTTTAAGTGTAAGTATAACTATAAAAAAGCTTTTTATAAAAATTTTATAGTAATTTAAAGCTAGTTTAACTTTATAAAGAATATTAAAGCTAAGTATAGCATCTAAAATAACAACATGTACAACTTTAATAAAACAGAGTTTATAATAGGCTAGATATCTACTAGAGCAGTTATTACAGGTTTAGAGAGATAAGAATAGCTAAAAGCAGTCTAGCTAGGTAACTAGAAGTAGACAACAGCTATCTAGGGCATTAATACTAAAAAGTAGGCTATTTTACTTTTTATTATCTTCTAAAGTAGCAACTACCTTTTAAACTAGTATAAGAAAGAAAATTTACTTTAGAATTAAGTTATTACAATCTCTAAGCGCAGCTAGACTACTAATTAGCTTAGTTTAGACTAGTTAAAGCACTTTAACGCGCATATAAAAAAGTGTACTATTAGTAGCTACTGTCTGCTAGTTATTAACAGCTATAAGAGCTATAACTTACTTTATTTTTAGTAATACTATAAAGATAATAAAATTATTACTATTTACATACTTTTTTACTTATTACACTTTTTATAGCTACTTAATGTAGGTTGTTTTACTTCTTTAAAAAAAGCATATAGGCGCTAAGCTAAAAACTTTATACATAACTAAATTACTTATATTATAAAAATAAAGTTCTTACTATGCTTTAAAGTAGCTTATAATGCTATAATTACTTTTAGTAATATCTAAGAAAAGTTTTAAAGCGCTAGATTAGTTTCTTTTAACCTATAATAAGTTATAATAGGCCTTAATGTAAAGTTGCGCACTCTATTACTACTACTACCTATATATAATAAGCCCTAGTAGTTGTAAACTCTAAGTAATACTTTAAAACTTAGGTTATAATTAATGCTTATAAAGATAAAAATTTAAAAGTATATAAATAGTTTACTAACTTTTATAGTTAAGGCGTTTAAAAAAGTTTTAAAAAGAGTAGTAATAATTACATATAAGCTAGTGTTAGTGTAATAAAAAATTACTAAGCTTTAAGTAGCTAATAAAGCTGCTATATAATATAAATTACATAAAAAAAAGTAAATTAAGGCAGAAAAGACTTTAATAATTTAGGAAGGCCTGCGCTTAACAGCTCTAAAGAAGTTTAAAGTGCGCAGTAACAGGAAGAAGGCAAAAAAGCAGGTGCAAGCTAAAGTAGGTGAGCTATCCTAAAGGCGCTGCAGACAGTGCAATTAGACTAGGCATAACGCGCAAACATGTAAGTAAGAAGTAAAAGTAGTATCTAAATAATATTCTAGGCTGTACTGTACTATATAGTGCCAGAGCGGGTTGTTATAGGCTATAATAGAGTTTGTTAGGGTGGGGTCTTAGCAAAAGTGAGCGACTTGGGTGTGTAAGCGACTCGCCCATGAAGTACGTTACATAATACAGTTGCTACTACAAAGTTTTATAAAGTTTAGAGAACAGAAACGTAGACAAATTAATAATAAAAGGTCCCCTTATATAAAAAGTAAGCAGTAAAGTTGTAGTATCTAAGAAATAATTATAAAAGTCCCTTAAATAGCTAGGGAGAGAAAGCCTTTCTTACACCCTTATTGGCTAGAGAGATAGGGCTTGCGCCACTAAGGCCACTAGCAGGGGCTTGCCCCTGTCGAGGCTCTCTCCCCATCCCGTCTGAGCTTGCTGAGATAAAGCACACGACCATGCTTCCCTTCATTTGGAGGGCTACAGATGATGTGTCACCATCCTAAATGCGGACTTGCGGCCGATAGGCCGTCATGTCGGTTGATTGGGTGCCGGGCCTGTCAACCGCAACACTGCACCGTGTACCGGGGAGGGCTCCCTTAGAGTTAGGAGGGAGGGAAAAGACGATATGCGCACATAGATGAACTTGAGAAAGAAGCTTGATTTGGGCTTGACTCTGCTTGCCTTTGGCTGCAAATTCATCTACTTTTTTGCAATTTCTGTCGGCGGCCTCAAAAGTTATGAGATTTGTAGTGTAGTGATGGTGATGCTGCTGCTCAATGTACACGCACCTTAACCCACTCAAGCCTGCGACGATGCTCCTGGGTCCAGTTGTTGCTCTCTCCGGTATCCTGGTTGTCCTTGCCCTTTGTGCTGAAGCCTTTCCTCCACAGGCTGATGGCTATGTGGATGTTGGCAATGCTTCTGCAGTTAAGTCTGTTGTCTGGCACATTGTTCTGTTGAAGGTGATCGCAAATGGCCTGTCCGGTCTGGGTGGTGGAATTGTAGGAGACGGCAGACGGATCGTAGATGGACATCTTGCCCTGGTAGATGTAGGCGACGACGTCGTGCCAGTCAGCTTGGCCGCTGGCATGAGCCTGCTTTGCTTTCGCTCGTACGGACTATAAGGCGCAAGGTAGGACGGTGGCGCCCGAGTTGCAGGGCATCAGGACGATGAACATCGACAATCGGGCGGTTCCCAGTGTGACGAACGTGGGTGGCAGAACGACATCAAACTCGTGGCTTTAAGTTTTGTGGCCAATCATGACCCCTGCTGCTTAGACGCAACATCCGACACTAGCCGAGGGAAGATGTTGCGTCGGCGTTCGCACGTGCTGATCGCAGATCTTGCCTAATAAGTAGCTCGCGCCGCGCTGCGAGTTTTCAGCCCAACGCAACGCCTTCGGCTTCGACCTAAGAGAACGAAGCAAACACCGCAGAATACCACAGAACACTCGCAAAACCCGGATACTATATCATACAATGGAATTTCTTCACTCTGAGAAGTTTTTTCTCTCACAATATGGCACAGCTGAGGTGTTGAGCAAGCAAGGGGGTGCAAAAGTCCTCCTGTTTGGCGATGAGCTGATACTTAAAACTGGCCGCAGAGTATCACGGGCAGAGGAAGTCGCTATGCGGCTAGTAAAAGAGCATACTGACGTTCCTGTTCCCGAAGTCGGCTCTTCGTATTACAACGCAAACGAAGGACGTTTGTGTATGAGCTTTATTCCAGGAAAGCCGCTAAATAAGTCTTGGGACTATCTAGACAACACAGTGAAGGAACGCCTCTGTCATAATATCTGGAGCATTATTGAGAAATTACGACAGATTCCAAAACCCCCCGAGCTACAACACCTTTTTCTCGGCCTTGCCGACGGTTCTAATAGCCGGGACGTACTCGTGGCAGAACTATCCGAGCATCAGCGACTTCTGGACGATGAGGCTGTCCGGAGTCGCATCTACGAGCGTTACTATGAGTGTAATGGTCGAAAATATGAGAAGGAATTACCGGATATGCTTCCTCGTGCGGAATTTTCTGTTTTTACCCACGGTGATATTTCACCCCGGAATATCATGTTTGACTCGAAGACCCAGCAAATCACTGGTATTATCGACTGGGAAAATGCTGGATGGTATCCAGATTATTGGGAGTATGCGAATATCTTGAAGCCTTCTGTAGATGACAATTGGCAAGAGTGGATGGATCTGACGGCTCCAAGGAAGTGGGACATTAGCGGAATAATGGCAGCACGGGTTGTTTTACTCTAAGAGTCATATTCATGGTAATAAAGCCTGAACCTCTTAATTCAGTCTAAGCTAATGTAGCTAGGACTAGCCAGCACCGTCTTGAGCACAGCTACGGGGTGGAAGCGCACATAGGAATGGATTGTACAACTTTAATTCCTTCTAATACCGAGTATAGCCCCAACGCGCAACGTATTCAGTTATCTTAACGTCGTCCAAGCAAGATAGGTGAGTCGATCATTTGCCGCAATCGCTCATGCCACTCGCCTTGCACAATTTCTTCGTCAATGAGACGACAAATAACCCTTAGTGTCCATGACTGACAAGTCTCAGTAACTTCTGCCTGAGATGCGGCCCTTGGAGGTGGTTCTTGGTTGACCCAGTGTTGGACTCGCTGAGTGCGGCTTTGGTCGAGCTGAGCGAGGTGGAATATATCCTGGAAACTCGCGGAGTTGACGATATCAATATTCTCTTTATGCTTGTACACCATGAATGTATGGTCGCCCTTGACTTGGTAGACTGTGCCGGCATGGCCTTCCCTTGAAATGAACAATAGCCAATGGTGGCCTTGGGGTTCTGGTTGCCGTTGGCGAACGAGTGAAAGGTATAATGGCTCCGGGGGAACTGCAGCCTCTGGCGTATCCTGAGTACTTGGCTGAGGGTCTGTGTATGACTGCCATTCATGTGTTCCAATCCTGCGCCAGTAGTAGTACTTGCCCCTTAGACTGGCATACTCTCGGAGACCTGCTCTTGTAATGGTGTATTGATCCATATGGATTGTCGGGTATAGGGCGGAGTGGAGCAACGATATGCAAAAGTCAAAACAAGGTTGAGAGACAATTTGATTTTCAAAGACGTGATTCGAAAGAAGCCTAGAGGATATAGATCTCAGAACAATATGTTACCTCCTGGAATTCTCACCTATTTATGCTACTTCAACTATTTGAATACGTTGAGTAATCTGTGGTAAATGTGAGCGACTACGTTTGATCCTCTCCTCCAGCGATTAGATTTATTGGGTACGGATTGCCACGATTGTTCGGGTGCTTGATACCGCCGTTTCCAAACGTCTTAGCCTTGATCAGACAAGGTATAGACGCATCTATTGGCAAAACCTCCCTTTCATTGAGGTCACGTAGCATCTACGCTGTGCCGCGGCGGTTACTGAGGCGAATAAGACTGAAGCTGGCTGTGCCGCAACTGAACACAGCCAGCGAACACCAACGGTGACGCCTAGTAACTGAGAACGAGGCAGATGAATGGCTGAAAGACGTTTCATTTCCATCCTCTGTTGGAGGAATCTACTACGTGAATTGGAGGATCAGCTCGGCGAAATGTTTAGGCGGCTAGTTACTACGGCGATGAACGGTTTGGGATGTTATATGACGCAATTCTGAATATAGTCATATTCTAGGAGGGAGGGAGGAAGTGTAGGGGTTGATTGATGCGTTGAGGCTTTGATTAAAAGAGCCCAGTGATACCTAATGCTGTCAATTAACCAGCTACTACAGTTGGGTTAACCGCATTACGTACTTGTCTTCCTTGCCTAGCATCTTGGGCGCCCCGCCGCGAACATAGAGCGCAATATAGAGTCGATCTTTGTTAGGAGCCATCGTTGTGGTGAGTGGTGATGTCTACGGACTCGAAGATTGAGCTTGATCAATGAACAGCAAGCGTTCCACTATGTCCATGGAAGGTATTGAGTTTAGCGCTTGAGCGATTGGTTAGCAAATTGACGAAGGCCATATGCGCCAGGACTGTTTTGGGCCCCTGGCAGTGTGTGGAGTTGGCTGGCCCCGGCAGCAAACCACTCACTGCTAAGAGACCCGTGCACGGCGCTAGTTGGCTACCAGGATGTGGGAGCCTGCCCATCGGGGAAATAGTCTACCGGTGGCTCGAGCGGTAGCGCACACGCCATGAATACTTCATAAGGGGGACAACAAGGTGTCGGCTTTAACGTCAAGATCTCCGCATTCTCTAACAACATCCTGTTCTTCTCATCACTTCAACCGAAGTCCACCGTTTCCACTCCGCTCTCAATTTCTCACTCTTCGGCATAACATTAACGTCTCCCGAAGTTGCATCGTTGATATTCAACTCGCTAGCATTCAAGTTGGTACCTTAAGATGAAAGAGATCCTTCGGGCGGCACAGGATGACTTAAAGAAATTAGGGGGATAGTACATTCCAGATCTATGTGCGAACCCGTGGATATGACCACCAGTTACTGCCAATTTGGCATCGTGATCTCATCTGCACGGTCATATGCACCTTGCCAGCATCGTGAATATATATTCATAAAGAAGGCTTAAGGAATTGAGCGTTTGCAATCGATCAAAATATGCTAAAGGAAATGATACTCAAAAAGAATGTGCTGTGCTGAGCTCATCGTCCCCAAGATTCCCCCAATAGAGACAGCAAGATCAGCCCAAAAACCTCGTGCAGCAACCGGGTTAGGCATCCTCTCTGTGAAGTGGGCCGCATGAGCATCAATCTCCAACGAGCCCTTGTTCAGCTGAAGGTTGCAATTTGCAATGCCGTCCGTTAATCTGAGTGAAGTGTTGGCGGTGTGACGTGGCCTTCCGGAGCAAAGACGGAGAGATTGAGCTTCCGCGAGCTCTGGGAGCGCTGTTCTCCAGGTTGTTGAAAGGCCATGATAATGATAGCACTGAAGGCTCTGAATGAATGCAATGAAGCAAGTTAATCCACGTAAGACGAATGACGCCTGTTGAAGTTCATCAGTAGAGTGCAGAAGGGGAGCATTGTGGGTTATACTTGCCTTCGTGCTAACATTGAGGAATAGTGTAACAGGGTAGTAGGCACAGATCTAATGCCACCGAGAGCCGTGTCTGTGGGACAGGCCGATGAGAGCGAAAGGACTAAACATTTCAACACGCTAGACTTGGTGGATGAGAATCCCAAGGACATTATGCTAAAAGAAGAAAATAGGGGAGAGCAAGAAGTTGATGTTTCGAATCAGAACACGCAGAGTGCCAACACACCGTCTGCACCCTTTGCCAGCATTTCTAGCGAGAACACGCCTAGCATCACGAACAGTCAAAGCTAGACCGCGCCGCAGGATCCGAATGTAGTCGAGTTCCCTGGGGATACCACCTCTGTTGACGAGGTTAAATCGAGTCCTCTAACGCCCATTCACGAACAAGATGCATTCGAAGATCCAGTCCCTAAGGACAGCGAAAGTAAAGAGAAGGACGCCTTTACCTCGTCGGCGTGAAACACTGTATACTTACCTTGTTAGAGGAGTTGTTGCTACTGCGTTGGACGGTTATAGACATGGCGTACATAGGAGATAGTTAGGTTATTGGAAAAGAGGTCTTGCATTGTACTTATACCATATTGCACTGTATAATAAATAGTATAGATTACTTAAACATGTTAATCTCTCTGCGTTCGATAGAATTTGGAGCTGTAAAATAGTTGTTAACATGTTTACAGCATTAGAGCTCATCGTTTTCATGTTAATCGCGTCTTTCTTGTATAACATAAGTATAATGATTGCAAGTCTTCATGGGTATAGAATAGCTAAGAGTATGGAATTATTTCGATCTTACTTTGCTACACCTTGTGTTGGAAAATTCTACAGTCTTAATAGATGTACTGTCCTTTGGAGCCGGTATTAGCTAATTAGGCCCTAGAGTTGGGGTATTGCACTCTACCCCCCGTGGCCCTTTAAACCATATATGCATACTAGCTAGTAAAGAAGCTGTAGCTTCCTAGTTTATTAAGGATGCAAAGGGCGAGAGAATCGGTATCATTAACCTGTTAGCCAGAGCTGCTACCATCACCATAAGGACTAGGATGGCCAACCATGTCGACATAGCGGCGGCAATAAGCTATACTTGCTGGATCGCAAAGTTAAGCGTGTTTTACTAGTCTAAGTAACCTTGCCTTTATATTAGTTTTGCAATCTAACGGATCTATTATTCTAATATTCTACAACTTATAGGATAGCTTAAGATAGACTCATACCTTAGCATATTCCTAGTGCGGGATTCTAGAGTGTTATCGGCTAGTCTAGATTAGTAAATGGCTTTTCGAGCCGTATATAGGTTATGTGATGTGATACATAACTTAAAGCTACAAACTAAGACTTTTAGACAACTTTCACCCTATTCTTCACAGGACGGCCACCAACTCCCCCGCCCACTTGTCATATGTAAGCAATCCCAACCTTCTTATTCTAGCTTAACGGAACACCCAAGGCGTTTACATACACATTAATCCCAAGCGTTAATCTTAATAATGTTAGAATAACTAAAGTTGTAATAGACTAAATGTTCGCCTATAAGCTAGTATTAAAGAATATATAAATTCTAATTAGCCCTGCTATTGTTATAAAACCTATAGTTTCACGCCTACATAATGTATACCTGAAGCTTGTAATTAAACTAGCCGCCATTGTTCTAGCTTAGGCTGTATTTCGTGATATTCATTAGGTCCTTAATACGCTAGACCGTTAGTACCTATATATTATTATTCCCAGCGTATAGCTAGTAGATAGGCTCGTCGCCAGTCGTGTGGACGATCTTCTCCATAAGAATCAATTTCTTTAGATTAGTTAGATCTACTTACAGGAAGTGGAGATGCGAAAATATTTCTAGAATTAGGGCCTTTGTGTTACAACCCAAGAACGCGAGAGACAACGAGAACCAAGCGATGTCTCGAGCGGAGTTCCCAAAGATGGAAAGGCGTCGACAGTGGGGAAGATGACAACCCCAGACCACGCGCCAAGACGGGAACACACAGGACCACGTGACGTGGGTGCAATCATGTGACTGCACCCAACAGGAAAACGTGACGTGGGTGCAATCGTGTGACTGCACCCAACAGGAAAACGTGACGTGGGTGCAATCGTGTGACTGCACCCAACCCAGCGAAGGACGAATATATAAGGAGGACGGATTCCCTTTGTTTCTATTCTTTGTAGTTAACCTTGTTTTATAATTCCAATCATAACCTTGTTTTATATCTTCTTTAATAGTAGCCTATACTATCTATAGAACAAGATTAACTAGCTATTATTAATAGAATTCTATTACAAGAACTATTATATGTTTATATAATCTTTAAACATCTATCTCTTATATTTTAGAAGAACATACATAAATAATAAATATATATAGCTTCTTCTATATAACTTAAGAAGTTAAAAATAGTTTAAAGTATTATATTACTTCTATAACGTACTTTATGGGCGAGTTGCTTACACACCTGAGTTGCTTACTTTTGCTAAGACCCCACCCTAACAAACTCTATTATAGCCTATAACAACCTGCTCTGGCACTATATAGTACAGTACAGCCTAGAATATTATTTAGATACTACTTCTACTTCTTACTTACATGTTTGCGTGTTATGCCTAGTCTAATTGCACTATCTGCAGCGCCTTTAGGATAGCTTACCTACTTTAGCTTGCACCTACTTCTTTACCTTCTTCCTGTTACTACGTGCTTTAAACTCCTTTAAAGCTGTTAAGCATAAGCTTTTTTAAATTATTAAGGTCTTTTCTGTAACGGCGCAGGCAAGACAATGGGTCTGAATGCGGTATGAATCCACTTAGAGGCATATGGGAGTGCGTGGGGACTCAGAGACCTGGGAATACCAATGACACCTATAGGCCTTGTACGTAGGATATCAGAAAACTACTGAGCTAGCTATAGGGGCGAGGTGCGACTAAATACATGAGGGAATAGGGGTAACAGCAGGGGTTGGGGCCAGGTTGAGGTCGGGGCTGATACGAGGGCCTTCTGGAGGTTCTGGGCGACTCAAGATGGAACGATTTATGAGGATTGTTACACTACCCCCCCCTCTGTAGACTGATAGTCCCTATTAGTAGTAATTATAGTACAAAGTATTGCTGTTATGTCCTCTGCCTCCTTAAACTAAAACTGGTCTAATTTAGCTAGGTGTCCTTGCCAAGTATTCCTTCGCACTGCTAGCGGTGTCCTCTAAACTAAACGCCATGCGCGCCTGTTCTAATAGTGATCTGTATAGATGTCTAGCCTGTTAATTATTAAGACCTTTGTTTATTGCCATCTATGCAGTTATTAACCTTAGGCGTGCGTTTAGTGTAGTAGCATTTAGGCGTTGTTAGGGGTGCCTTAAAGGTCTCTTGCTATAGGGTAGCAGTGGTAATTTAAGGCATTATTAGGGGTGATTTAGTGGTGGCTTAGCAGTGTTTTAGTAGATTAGCTGCTTAAGCTGTGCTTGTAGTTAAGCATAGATATACTGCTAGGGGGTTGACTCTAAATTAGGTGGGTCTAGCTTTAGGTCCTGCAGACGCAAGTTTAGCTGTTAATAGGGTGGTAGTATAGCTTAGCTAGAGCGTGTTTAACTCTAGGGTTAAGGGGTAGTTAAAAGTTAGGCATTAGCAGTTGTCTCTAATCCTAATAAGTTATTAGTAGTCTCTAAGTTTCTACCTTAGCGCATTCTTTGCAACTTTTCTGAAGGCAATCCTAATTACATAGGGATAGGAAGTTCTAAACCTAAAGGCTTTAGTTAACTAAAGGTTAATGGGATCTAGTCTATAGACTAAATAAATTAATATAACAGTGTGTAAGTATTACAACTTAAACTAAATTAGACGCGTCTTAGAGCTTAGACGTAGTTAAACAAACAATTAGTGTAATATTATAACAAGGCTGTTACTAGCAAAAGCAAGTTTTCTAATATAATGTAACAGCGCAGGCAAGACAATAGGTCTAAATGCGGTATAAATCCACTTAGAGGCATATAGGAGTGCGTGGGGACTTAGAGACCTAGGAATACTAATGACACCTATAGGCCTTGTACGTAGGATATTAGAAAACTACTAAGCTAGCTACAGGGGCAAGGTGCGACTAAATACATGAGGGAATAGGGGTAACAGCAGGGGTCGGGGCCAGGTCGAGGTCGGGGCCGATACGAGGGCCTTCTGGAGGTTCCGGGCGACTTGAGATGGAACAATTCATGAGGATCATTACATTTTCTGCCTTAATCTACTTTTTTTTATGTAATTTATGTTATCTAGCAGCTTTATTAGCTGCTTAAAGCTTAGTAATTTTCTATTACACTAACACTAGCTTATACATAATTATTGCTACCCTTTTTAAGACCTTTTTAAACACCTTAACTATAAAAGTTAGTAAACTATTTATATGCTTTTAAATTTTTGTTTTTATAAGCATTAATTATAACCTAAGTTTTAGAGTATTACTTAGAGTTTACAACTACTAGAGCTTATTATATATAAGTAGTAGTAGTAATAGAGTGCACAACTTTACATTAAGGCCTATTATAACTTATTATAAGTTAAAAAGAACTAATTTAGCGCTTTAAAACTCTTTTTAAATATTACTAAAAGTAATTATAGCATTATAAGCTACTTTAAAGCATAGTAAAAACTTTATTTTTATAATATAAGTAATCTAGTTATGTATAAAGTTTTTAGCTTAGCACTTATACACTTTTTTTTAAAGAAGCAAAACAACCTGCATTAAGTAGCTATAAAAAGTGCAATAAGTAAAAAAGCATATAAATAGTAATAATTTTATTATTTTTATAGTATTACTAAAAATAAAGTAAGTTATAGCTTTTATAGCTGTTAATAACTAGTAAATAGTAGCTACTAATAGTATACTTTTTTATATGCACATTAAAGTGCTTTAACTAGTCTAAACTAAGCTAATTAGTAGTCTAGCTACACTTAGAGATTATAATAACTTAATTTTAAAGTAGATTTTTCTTTTTATACTAGTTTAAAAAGTAGTTACTACCCTAGAAAATAATAAAAAGTAGAATAGTCTACTTTTTAGCATTAATGCCCTAGATAGCTGTTGTCTACTCCTAGTTACCTAACTAGACTGCTTTTAGCTGTCCTTATCTTTCTAAACTTATAACAACTGCTCTAGTAAATATCTAGCCTATTATAAACTTTATTTTATTAAAGTTATACATATTATTATCTTAGATGCTATACTTAGCTTTAATATTCTTTATAAAGTTAAACTAGCTTTAAATTACTATAAAATTTTTATAAAAAGCTTTTTTATAGTTATACT